AAAAAGGTAGAAACTGATCTACCATATGATCCAACCATACTGCTATTGGGCATATACCCAAAACTTTGTATACCCTACCACAAGAATACCTGCTCATCCATGTTCATTGCTGCCATTTTCATAATAGCCAGAATTTGTAAACAACTTAGAGGTCCATGAACTGATGAATGGATAATGAAGGCATGGTAGATATACACAATGGAATAGTATTCAGCTCTTTAAATTTTTTCATATTTTATTTATTATTTTTATGTGTATGTGTGTATTGCCTGCGTGTAGGTAAGTGCACCTGTGTCATGCAATGCCCACAGAGGGCAGAACTTTAAAAGAAATTGTGAAATGTGCAGGTAAATGGATGGAATTGGAAGCAATCATCCTGAGTGAGGTAACTCAGACCCAGAAAGACAAATGTTACATGTTCTCTATCATGGTTGGGTGCTAGCTGTGAAAGGTTGGGTACACATGTTTCAATTTTAAATTCCAGAGAGGTCATAGGTTGTGTGGTGGGGGGTTTCCTGGGAGGGAGATAGAATGCAGTGATACAAAGGAGAGGGGGAGACAGAGTAAGAAAGGCTGAACAGGGTGGGGAGGGAGGGTAGGGCAGAAGAGTGACGATGGGGACGGATAAAGACTCTAAAGCCTTTAGAAAAAAACATATGGAATCCTACTTCTATAGAATCCTCTTAAAGTATGTACATATCCATTATAAAAAGAGACTAAAAGAAGTTACTTTATAACAGAATGATACTGCCCTTACTAGACACCATAGGCTAGCAAAGTAAAAGCCCAGTGCCAGGAATGGAATTTTTCTTTTGAAGCTGTTGACCAGGAGTTCCATAGACCCTCAAGCAATGCTGTCCATTGCCCCTGCTCTTGGTTACCCACCAGAATTTCATGGTAAGACCCTATTGTTGAAGACACTACACATATGAACTGTAGAACAAGCAAGGAGAAAGCAAGCTGGTGCTGACTTCAAAGTCTCATCTCTACTGGCTAGCTTTGTATAGTACTGGAGGGTGCTATACAAGTTATCTGAAGAGAAAATTTGTCATCATCCTTACTTTGGTGAATCCTGTAAACTACAAGAACAACTGATCAGAGAGAGTAGGTCCACTGGTGCAATAGTGGCACAAATATTATGGGGGTAACCAACCACTTTCAATTGGATTTAAGGTCCACTTCTTAGGATGGAGCCCATACCTGGCATTGATATCAAGTCTAGGAATATCTTGTATGAGGTATCTCTTAACTCTCACCAGAGAAGCTTCTTTATACAGCAGATGGTGTTTAACAGAGAACCACAACTGGCCAACATGCAGAGAATTAGAGGCCGTAGAGTGCTTATTCCTATATCGGGCACCTATATCAAACTTCTGCTTCCTAAGGCTCAGGGGATCATTGAAAAAGAGGGGGCAGAAATATTGCAAGAGCCAGAGATGGTGGTTGACCACAAGGAAATGGAGTTTCACAGACAGCTGGAAAGACACTCATATGAACTCACAGCAATGATGATGGCATACACAAATCCCACACAAAGCCAGACAAAATCCCAGTATAGACTAGGGAAGTGGGTAAGAAACCCCAACCCTATCAGAGGAACAATTGGCAATTGATGGCTTCTGGGAAGGGGAGAGTCAGTCTCATTTAAGGATGTCTCTTGGTAGGTTGGCCAGGCTCCAGTGGATGAACCCACACTGAAGGGTAGCTAGGGACAGAAATCTGGAAATTGGGTGGGGGTAGTTAGTAAGGGAGAGTGTGTATAGAGGACGGGAACCAAGTATGATCAAAATATCGTGTATGAATTTCACAATTAAAAAGGAAAAAAAATGGCCAGTACCCCATGCATAAAATTGTAGCTCAATATTAAAATGGTTGTTAGCATTAAAACAACAACAACAAAACATAACCAACCATCCAATCAAGAAAATAAGAAAGAAATGGAAGAAGACAGTGGAAGGTCATTTATGAATACACAGGTACTAGAAGATGCTCACGAAGAAACAGAATTAATATTGTGATGTGGCAATAGTGCTGATATCAATCTAGAAATTCAGTATAATTCCCATAAAAATCTGTTACATTCTTCAAGAACTAGAAAAGACAGTGCCAAAATTCATATGAAGCACAAAAGACCCCGAATAGCTAACATAATTCTTAGTAGAAAGAGCAGTTACTAGAAGTATTACAGTACCTGATCTCAAATTATATTACACATCCACACTAACAAAAACAGCAAGGTGCTGGAACAGCAGCAGACATATAGACCCATGTACTACAATAGAGGACCCAGAAATAACCCATGACTATAGACACTTGGTTTTCAACCATGATGCCAAAAACATATTTTGGAAAAAAGATAAACCTCAACAAATGGTTCTTGGAAAACTGGTTTCACCATATAGGAGATTGGAACTACACCCATCTCTCTCACCCTGTACAAAAATCAATTCAAAATGGACCAAACACTTTAATGTAATAGGAAATTCTGAAATCACTGCAAGAATACATTGGGAAAGATTTCCAGATATATGCATAGGCAACAATTTTAGGAAAATGACTCATGGATCAGGAAATCATAGCAAGAATTGACATGCAGGATTACATGAAATTGAAATGCTGCACAGCAAAGGAAACTGCAGAGTAAACAGCCTAAAGAATGGAAGAAAATTTTTACCAAGTATACATCTGACAGGAGATTAAGTGTGTGTGTGTGTGTGTGTGTGTGTGTGTGTGTGTGTTTAAAAAAAAAAACAAACACCTGCCAGGCCAGCTGGGACTACAGGGATCAAAAAGACCAAAAATAAATAAAATAAAATAAAACCCAAAAAAACCACCACCATAAGCCAGGTGTTATTCTGCATGCCTAGATCCCAGACTTAGGAGGCAGAGACAGGAGAGCCACAAGTTAAGCCTCATAAACCCTATTTCAAAAAACAAAACAAAACAAGCAAAGACTCATTCTCATTGAGAGGTGAATAGATTAATGGGGAGCAAGCCCCATTAATAGGAGGAAGGTAATAGAAATTCATGTATCAGTTCAGACAAGGGACATGGGCAACTTTTCCCAAAGGTGTGAGCCAAGTAAACAGTGGGAAAATTGGATTTGAGATTTTAAAAAAATGTATATTTTATGTGTATGAGTGTATTGCCTGAATGTATAAGTGCACTGGAATTTTGCAATGCCTGTGGAGGTCAGAAGAGGGCACTGGATCCCCTGGAACTCAAGTTATGAACAGTTGGTAGCTGCCATGTGAGTGCTGGGAACTAAACCCTGGTCCTCTGAAAGAGCAGCCAGTGCTCTTAACTGCTAAGCCATCTCTCCAGCCCCTCGAGATTTATTTTAAATGTGGATGTTATAACATTTCCCAGTGGGTTCAAGCTAGAGTACCAAAACGACATAAGGATGACACCAAGAATTTAGGGTTGTGTATCTATCAGGATAGAGTGGCCCTTAGCAGACGTAGGGGAATGTCAATGAAACAATCAGGTTTTCAGTGGACATCTGGACTTCTTTCAGAGAAATGTCTGGACTGGAGAAATAGATTTGGAATGCTAAGTGTTACTTAAAACCTTGAAAATAGCCAGGTATGTTGGGACACACCTTTAATCCCAGCATTCAGGAAGCAGAGGCAGGCAAATCTCTGTGAGTTCCAGGCCATCCTGGTCTAGATAGTGAGTTCCAGGCCAATCAGGGCTGTATAGTTAGACCCTGTCTCCAAATTTAATTAATAAAAAGATCTGAAAAATGAGTAAAATCATCAAGGGAATGATGATCTGTAAAACAGAAAGAGAAGAAGGCTTTAGCCCAGCTCAGTGCTCAGTGATCTAGCCAGAACACACTGGTGCACACTGAGCAGCATTGGGCTGCATCTACAAGTCCGCACACTTTTGCAGGAGCTCCCTGGACATCTCAACAGGATTTAGGAAGTCTGATGCAGAGCTGAGGTTCTGTGTTTATAACAAGCTTGGTGTAGAGGCTGCTGGTGTTCAGATCACACAGCTGTGAGGATGCAGATGAGGAGCCCCTGGGTGATGCTCAGCCTCACTTAGAGCTTGTTCTGTAAGTTTCTTCTGGGACCAGGTGTGGTGATTCATGCCTCTAATCCTAACACTCAGGATGCTGGGGCAGAAGGATTGCTTAGAGTCAAAGACAGCTTGGAATACTATATTAGTTACTTTTCTTGAGTCTGTGAAAAAAAACGACAGAAGCAACTTAAAGAAAAATTTATTTTGGTTCATGATTTAAGAAGGTATAGTCTATTTTTGCATAGATATTCTGTGGTTCATGGCAGAGGCAGCAAGTGACTGGGATCCCTCATCTTGATGGATCAGGAATCAGGAAGGGGGAATGCAGGCACTGATTTGGCTTTCTACTTTTCCTCATTTTAGTCAGTCTGGGCACCCAGGCCATAGGGTGGTGCCAACTAAATTCAGGGTGGGTCTTCCCTCCTCAATTCATCCTCTCTGGATATACTCAGGATACTCTAAATTCAGATAGGTTGAAAATGAAGATCACAGCTACATAGTAAGTTGTAAGCCAGCCTGGGGTGCAATGTGAGGCCCTATAAAAAAGAAAAAAAAAGTGATTCCTGACCTCCATGGTCAACAATCTGACTTATGAGTCTGATAAGAGTCCTGGGTATTTTGGAACAAGATTTGAGGCCACTGATGTCAGTGCTTAGAGCAGCACACAAGATGAAGACATCAGGTCTGAGTAAGCATGGAGGTGTGGGTGTGTCACATGAACAAAACAGGAGATGAAAAACATTTCCATCTGGGGCTTCAACACTGGAGACAAAAGATCCCACCCCTTCCCTTACCTGAACTTTTCTTCCTCATCATCACAATGGTAATCACAGCTCCAGTCACCAAAACTCCAAGGAGAACTACACCAACAGTTATTCCGATGTTGGGCCAAGAAGGTGACTCTGGGAAGAGAGGGAGGTGAAAAGGTAGAAATAGGGTGTCCTGACCCCCCAGCTCTCAGCCCTGACCCTGCTCAGGGTCTCCAGAAGGCTCCTGCTTTCCCTGACAGCAGGCTCTGTGCCCACACCCTCCTTACCCCATCTCAGGGTGAGGGGCTCAGGCAGCCCCTCATGCTGCACATGGCATGTGTATCTCTGCTCCTCTCCAGAAGGCACCACCACAGCTGCCCACTTCTGGAAGTTTCCATCCCCTGCAGGCCTGGTCTCCACAAGCTCCATGTCCTGGGTCAGGTCCTCCCCATCCCTCTGCCAGGTCAGGGTGATGTCAGCAGGGTAGAAGCCCAGTGCCCAGCACCTCAGGGTGACATCCCCTTCAGGTCTGGGATGATGGGTCACATGTGTCTTTGGGGGATCTGAGAGAAACAGGTGGAAAGTTCAGGCATTTTGTATTCTTCCTGGGGACTCAGCAGTGCTCATGTGACCATCCTGGGAACAGACTTGAGAACTGGGGTGGGGGAGGGGTGCAAATTCCACATAGCTGCCTAGACACAGGCATCTGGGATAATCCACTCCTTGGAAAGTTCTATAATCAGAGTAAGTCAGCCCAGGACCAGAAACTCCAGGTTTCCCACATGGAAAGTGGACTTCTGGTCCTGACTGGATAGGGCTGAGAGACTCAGCATCACTGGAGACAGACCTCCAGACACTGGGTGTGGGCAGAGAACCTGGCCTGAGAGAGGCTGTGGTTCACAATGGGCTGCAGATGGAAGGAAACTGCTGGCTGGTTATTTCAGGATCTTCTCTCCTATCCTGAGACTCTTAACCGTCCTAGAGAAGGGTGAGCCCTGGAGTCACTTTCTGATGCTGGACCAGGAAACCCAGGAGCATCTTTCTGCTGTCTTTGCCAGATAGAGGCAGAATTCCAGTTGGCCCCATTTTCTCTTCCTCTTATGAGAGGCCTAGAGAAGGGTGAGCCCTGGAGTCACTCTCTGATGCTGGACCAGGAAACTGAAGAGCATCTTTCTGCTGTCTTTGCCAGATAGAGGCAGAATTCCAGTTGGCCCCATTTTCTCTTCCTCTTATGAGAGGTGAGCCCTAGTCCTGAACAGATGAGGATTTGCCAGCAGCCCTTCTTACCTGCACTCAGCAGCCTCGTCTTCCCGTTCTCCAGGTGTTTGAGGAGCCCCTCCATGCACTGCCTGTTCAGAATGGTTCTTACGACCTCCGCCACACCATCCGCCTCCCACTGTTGCCTGGTGATCTCAGCCACCCGGTCTGCCACAGTCCACGTTCTGAGGTCCTCATTCAAGCTAATATAATTGTTTCCATCATAGGCGTGGTCATAGTACCCTCGTAGGAAGTGTTCCTCTCGTCCCAAGTCGCATCCAAGTAAACACTGGAAGGTGTGAGAGACTGCCCGGGCCCCTCAGTCAGCCCTTACCAACACCCGCCCCTCCCACCCTAGGGATTTCAACCTTATACTCCAAGTAACACCAGGTCGCGGTTCCAATGCTCTTCCTGATCCAGCGTCCCCACCACCGGTCCGGCAGCCTCAGGCCAAACTCAGAGCTGAGGATGGGGGCCGTCCGTGGGGACCTGGAGGATCGTGATCTCCATCTCCAACCTGGGATCACTCACCGTCCTCACTGTGGTTGTAGACACGGATTGCAAATCTTAAGTTTTTTCGGGCGACAGTTGAGTAGCTCTGGGCATATCTTTTCTCTGTGGTCCAATACTCCGACCCCATCTTCTCTGCCCACGGCACCCGGGGCTCTACCCTGGTAGTCGTCCCGTCGCTGTCGAAGCGCATGAACTGCGTGTCGTCCACGTAGCCAATGATAGTGACAGGGAGCTCCTGGGCACCAGGCCGGAAGACGGTGGTGACAAAATACCATATGGAGTGCGAGCCTGGAAGTGGGAAGGCGCGATGAGACCCTGGGACAGGAGCCCGGGGTGGAGAAGGAGCGGTGCAGGGCGGCCCAGCTAGGGCAGCGGGGAGGATGAGGGCGGGCGAGGGTGGAGACGGGTTTCCCCGGCACTGTGTTCCACACTCCCC